TACCTGCTCCCGTTTTTCAATTTTCTCCTGGTGTGATACTTAAGGAAAGCAATTTGAGAGGTCAACTTCGACACCTCCTTCGCTGGTGCCCTTATACTGAATCACCGGGACAAGGGCTGCCTGGCCCTGGCCCTCCTCGGAGAATGTCTGCTATTTTCTCCTCGTTACGGAGTGGGCGTGCTCTCTGTGCCCTCAAGGCGCTCATCTTCTCTACGGTAAGTAGTTGTACTCATCCTGCAATAAACGCGTTCCAATCGTTTTGTATACGTCGGAATGTTCTTCAGAGAGACTCTAGTGTAATCGTGACAAATTGTTCACTTAACAAACGTATCAATCGAAAATGTTCCTGGTTGGAACTTGTATTGCTTGACCAAGTTCATTGCACCAGGAACGTTCCGCATTTAAGGCATCAACGGCTATGAAGATGAATGGTGCATTCCCGACTTGGTCGAAGTCGGCGATTCAACTCTTGTTACAAGTTAGTCTTGTAGTGAGCTTGGAGTGTGCAATTGTGGGCTCATAGTGTGGGGCCAAAACTCTTACTGGTATATCCTTCTTCAATTTTATAAGTAGCATTGTCGGCAGATATAAAGGACTTGTTGGCTTTAAAGGTTCCCCAGTTCACACTCCTATCAACAGGAGTCATCTTTTTTCCACAAGTTTTTGAGTCACAAAAGCTTGGAGGTGAAATTTCTAGCTCGGGCTTCGGTCGATATTCACCGTTTATGGTATGCTTCCAGTATGCGCTCCAACTCGTTTACGAAAAGCAAGTAGACATGTATTGCCTTCTAAAAGTACCAATTCGTATCATTCCTTCAAGACCTCGCGTTCTCAGGTTCAAAAAGCTCAGAGAAGCTTGGCATCGAGCGCTTATGTGGGTCAAGAACAGGTAGTTTTGCTAAAACTTATCTTTCTTAGGTTGGACCGTGAATTAGCTTCAACCAGGTCGAGCCATTCGTTTCTTTTAATCAAAAATTTCGAGCCAAGCGCATTCTGGAGAAGGGAGACGGCTACTTATTCACCCATAATCATTGTCCCGTGCCCGCAGACCTGTGCTTTAGTTTCGGGATCGAGCGAAGAATGAATTGCTGTTCAATCGAGGCGACGACTCAACGCTGAGGCTTTTCCATCGATGTGTTCCGAAAGAGCGAGAGTGAGTCAGTAGGGAAGCCGTCGGAGAGACGGCCAGACGGCGAGCGCCGTTGGAGGCGACCCCGCTCGGCTGCAGGCCATTCCCCCACGTGCTGTCGTCTCTGAATTGCTCCACCCACCGTGCAGAGGCACATGTGTGCTTTCCAAAGCTTCCTCTATTCTGTATCGTGATGTCCCTTCCTCAGATCTAGCCTGTTTTGCCTTTTCGTTCCTGCTCATGAAATCTGCCTCATA